TGCTGCCCTTTGCCTGGCGGCTGGAGGGTAAGTAACAAATCGCTCACCCCAGAACCCGTTAGTTAAAGGCGTTGAGTCACGCTGAGGGCACCGTGATTGGCATTTCAATCCCAGCCCAGCAAACGCATCCATCAAACAACCACTATCAAAACACCTGCAGACCTCTGGTCTTAATTTTCTCCTAATTGCATCAAATACTTCAGCTCCCATCCTTTAACCCGCCAGGCTCCCCAGCACCCACCAGCCGTGACAAATCCACCGTACAAAAGAGTGTCTCCAACCGCTTCTCCATCCAGAGCCACTCGGCTGGAAGCATCCCCACCGCTGCAGCCAGCCAACAACCCACCGAAGCCCCCGAGGCTGGCTCTGCCCTGCAAGCTTCCAAGTTTCCTGATTTACACCACATGAGAGCTCCCACTTTCCTCCCCTGCCCCACCAAAAGTGTGGGCTCCCTTATAGATTTCCAGGTTTTCCCGCTGATTTGGTCACGTACCTGCTCCAGAATAACAGCACACGCAGGTCGGCGAGGTACACCGCTGGTGCGTACAGGGGTTTGGCAAAGCACGGAGCTCGACACCCTCCCGTCCATCAGCCAGGTTACAGCGCTGCTGCACGGATCCAAGTTTCTCTGCACTTTTGAAGTCACACTGTGGCTCACCGGGCATGCCAGGTTTGGGCTATGAGCAGAAAGGCAAATTGCAACGAACCGCTCACATGTGGACATGAAAACTGATGGTTAAGAAGCTGGCCAGTTGCCATCATTTCAGATGTAGAAGAGGTAGAAAAACCCATGAGGGGTCCCTTACTCCCAGCCCTCAGGCCAAAGCTGCACCTGAGGGTAAACCCCACCGCTCCCCAGCTGAGCCGGCAGGTCCAGCTGGGAGTGCTCTGCCAGGGGAGCCGCCCCAGCGAGTTTTTCCAACACAAAATAAAAAGAGAAAATGAATTCCAACTTTCATCTTGTCTGCTCTGCACAGGAACTCACCCAGGGCACGTTGCAAGGCTGCTGCTCTAGCCGGTGTTACACATTTGTTATTGCTCAATATGCTTCAGACAACTAAAGGAAGATGCAGTCAAGCTCAGTAAAGATGCATGGATGAAGCTAGCTACAGGAGATGATAGAGGAAAAAGGTCTTTAAGTAATGTTGGCAATTTTTTAGAGAAGTGACAACAAACAGGAGACCACCAAGCTGTGAATGAAGCAAGTGAGAAATCTCTCACGCGTCCTCGCATCCAACTTCATAGCACTTCTCCTTTTAAAGTGCTGCCATTTGCGATTTTTGGCAAGCTAAAAACATCACCAGCAGTTAAAAATGGAAAACAGGATGCTCAAAATAAAATTTTTACATCTGCAAAAATCCATGAAAGGCAAAGACACAAAGCTGCAGCGTAGGAGGCATGGAGCTGCCGGTCTCTTCCCTTGGGTTTGCAATAATCATTCGGCCCCAGCAAGAAAACCGGGCATGAGGTGGGAAATCCACATCACAGCTGCCAGAGTTCCTGGGGAGGGCAGCTTGCCTGGGTCCTCAGCCAAATGGGAGACTGCTGAGACGGAGGGAAGCCCCCTCCAACGGGTGGCTGCCAACGAGCCAAGGCCTTGCTATGATTTACTCTCAGCACATTGTCTCCCTTCCAGTGCTGTTTCAGACTGAATTTTAATGCATTTTTGCAATCTGTTTACATTGAAATTTCTCCTACCCTTGACCTAGCATAGTCGTTCCAAAACTTGGATAGGGGAGGTGGGTGCACCCACTACATTCACCCCTAAGGGGCTGCTATGTACGGATTTAGTGATCCAGGCAGAAACTCCTGCTCCACGTGGAAGAACCTGGCTCAGGCAGGCACACGTGCCACCAAGGTCAGCTCTGGAAGCAGATCCTCCAGAGCTTACAGCTACAGCAGTGCTCACACAGAGGGCTTCTTGCTCCTTGTAATGAAATCTTGCACTCCCCTACTACAGAATTAGGAATGAAGTTTGACCTTCCCAGGATAACTGAGTAATCCTGCTGTAATTACATTGCTACCAGGAAGTGAATCAAGCCACACAAAACCAAACCATGGCCACTTTTAAACCCTCCTTTTTACCACCATACAGTGCAGATTCGTTGGGAGTTTTCTTGCGTCCCAGACAGCAGCAGTGTCGCTAAACGGCATTGCAGAGCATGCGTCTGGAAGGTAGGTACGAAACCAAAAGGAAATCCCTCCCTTTTCATTGTAGGGGAGAGCTGGACCAGGAGGGAGAGGAGAGATTTGATGTGCTTTACACCTATTAGTTTTTGGTGGTGGTGGTAGGTTGTTTTTTAAAAAGAAAAAACAACACAAACAAAAAAGAAAAACCAAACAAAAAAGAAAAACCAAACAAAAAAGAAAAACCAAACAAAAAAGAAAAACCAAACAAAAAAGAAAAACCAAACAAAAAAGAAAAACCAAACAAAAAAGAAAAACCAAACAAAAAAGAAAAACCCAATTACTGCTTGTGGTTTTTTTCATATAGCCCAAAGCCAAAATCTGGAATAAAAAATGAGCTACGCACTGGAGTTTGCAGGCATGCAAAGAATGACATTCTAATTGGCTCCAAATCCTAGTAAGATAGATTGTTATTTTCTCACATTGTTTTATGCCAAAGTTTCCATGACCATTTTTGCAGCAGCACTCAACTTTCTCTTCAGCAAACAGCTGTAACATTGCATCTTCCACTCTTCTGAGGTGACCAATTTAATTGAAAGTCATTAAAAAAACTGCAAAGGTCCAAATTATCTGGTATTGTTACACTTCATCCTATTCTGAATTTAAGTAAATGATGGAACAGGAAGAACATATTATTACATTTATATAAATAGCAACGCTTCTCAATTAACTATAAAAAGATGATACTTCAGACAGCTGTTAGAACGCATCAGGCAAGCGGTATCTGCCATTTCAACCGCAGGACTGTCAGAAGGCCTGTACCATCAAGGGCAAGTTAAGAAACAACTTTACTACTTCCAATTAGGTTTTTTTAATTAATTTTTCCCCTTTTATACTCATATTTTCCAACTCACAACTTGATATAACACTCCTGAACCTCAAAACAAATTTATTATCTCCAATTTCACTAATGGGAGATGGAGGAACAAGAATGCGTGCCACATACATGTTCACAGAAGGCATTAGAGCCAGATAACCGAGGCATATTCCCCCTAAGAAAATGTCTCATAACCACCAGGTTGTGGAGGCAGAAATCCTGGCTCCTGAGCAGGGGACTGCCACAGCCAGGGCACATCCTGCAGCTGAGCATCACAGGACAACGACACAGCTGTTACGAGGGTACAGGATTTTCCTTCTGCGTTTCTGCCAGCTCTGGTGTCTGCTCCTTCAGATCTTTCTTCTCTTCCTGCATCTCTTCCAACACAGGTTGAAGCCGGAGGTGTAATACAGAGTCCCTGGTTTCAACATTCTGATGATCCTGTTGTGCTACCTACAGTTAAAAGACAGATGATCACCAAAAAAACAGGGTCATAAAAAGTTTCTGTCAAAGGTTGACTGAAGAGAGCAATAGAGAGCAACAGCCCCAGTTTGTATGTCCAAAAAAAAGCTGATAGGAAAGTTCTAATTCATGCTTAAATTACTGTGAAGGTACGAGACAGCGTCAAGGTACTGACATACCAGGGCAAGAAATTTAAAACAAGACTACTGACCTCAAGCTAAAAGATGAAAGAAAGAAAGTCATGGATTTCAACTTTTCACATGCTCATTGGACACTGCACATTAAGCAGAACCAATTTCTGTTCCTCTTCAGCCTCTTTTATTGGGGAAAGCACTACGGACACTTAACCCGGAGATCATCGGATAATGAGGAGAATGGATAGTGTATTACAAAAGAGAATAAATGAATTTAGCTAACAGACTTTAAAACTGCAGCTTTTATAAACAGCTCTTCTCCCTTCTTTTTGAGGGTGTTCAATTACAAGGACAGCATTCTCAGAAGACATGGTAATCAGTTAGTCATGAACAAGGTAAAAGATTTTTAACCATCATAAAGCAGCCAGGTTCTACTCTACCTGACGTGCTGTTCTAGAAGCATCTTCAGTTTGGTTTTTCATCCTATTTTAACATTAAGAGTTACATGATAATTGCCTGAAGTAACAAGGAACTAGACTCCATGTGCCCAGGAGCCATTTCTTCTCGTACATTAGAGAAAACAGAAAGCAGCAGCAGAACACTTTGGGCAGTTCTTTTGGACAGTTATTTTCTTGCCAGAAATATAAGTAAACCACAACAAACCAAACTGCAAGATTTATGTAAAAAATTCCAGTTCAGGATCAAGATTGAAGAACACGAGTGAGTGTGCATTAGACTACTTAACTATTAAAAAGGGATGGAAAAACATGTTAGTTATCTTCGAACCAGAAGAGGTTCTCGTTTACCTCCTGCTACCTTATAGACATAACATGTATATGGTAATACCTATACGTATTTCCAAGTGGTTTATATAGACACACCGACAGATAATCTGAAAGCACTGAAGACTTAAATCTTTCTTCACCATAACAAGTACTTCTCTTTTCTGTCCCGCAAGAACTACCTTAACCTTAGCCAGTCACGTTCACAACTAAGAAGAAAGTTTATTCTGCACAGCAAAGACATTTTATTATGACCACTGGGCGTGTGACTGTTTTGGCTGAGAATTTAATTCAGACTAACTCAACATTAAGGGTCTGGAAGTGAAGTTTTCTGAATCCACTGGCCAAGTAACTCTGTGAATATTTAATACTTACTTTATCTGTTCCTCTTCTCTGTAAAATTATCCCACTTGCTAAAAGGGCTTTTCCTGCTTCTTCAAACAATTTTTCCTCTTCAATTTTTCCTTCTTCCTTCAGTTCATTGAATTTCTCAACAAACCTAGATTTCAAGATTGCATTTTTACTCTCATAAATAATGTTTTGGTTCACTAACTTAAGAGGAGAAAGGGACAAGTTTCAGAAATATTTCTAGTTTAATTATTAATAAACCTTACCTCTGGCAAGTAGATTTGTAGTTTAATTGCGACAGGTCGAAAGGTCTTGGACCACTGCCATAAATTCTGTAAAATTTCCTATTCAAAAAAGAAAACAGTTTAGTTTTTCAAACCATCAAAAAGGGATACGTCTTGGAGTAAATAACATCAGAGTCAGTTAATTCAGGCTTGAACAAAAACTTTTCACATAACTATCTCTCCTCTTCCCATCAGCTATTATGTTATACAGAGATGTTCGTTCCAGTATTTTTAATTGTCTTGATAAATTCTAGTTAGTCTTCACCACCACCAGTGAGTCAGAGAAGCACTGTAACTTCTCCACAGAGGGTTGAAGTTAGCCTACCCCGGCCACCCAACGCGGCTGACAGGAGTTTGCGTTGGACAGGCGTCTGCCTCTTCTATTGCAAACAAGCCTCTACCTAAAGCAAGGTGCCTTTTGCGCCTCCACCAGCAACTATAAATATACGGGAGATAAGGCGGTAGGAACGCGTAATGCGGTGTCTCTGCAACATAAAGAAGCAGCGAAAACACTGCCTGAAGGCCCAGGGACAGCAAGGGCGGTGACACGGGGCAGAGGAACGTCTCCGGTGGATGGCGGAGCTCAGGCACCCCTCGGCGGCCGTCCAGGGAGGGAACGCGGAAACTCACGCTCGCACTTCGTCCTCCTGGTAGAAGATGGGCGGGACAACGTCCTTCACCTTGCCGTAGCGCGGCCGCGGCACCCGGTAGACGGGCTCCCTCAGCGGGGGGAAGGCAGTGTAGACGTCGAACCACAGCGGCTTCTCGATCACCCCGATGCGGAGCAGGTTCCGAGTCCTGCCGGGGGAGAGGAGCGGCGCGGGGGGAGCTCAAGGGACACCCGCACCGCCCCAGCCTTGCGCCTCCCTCCCGGGGGA